TTATACACCTAATTGCTTTCAAAAGCCAATTAGACTATTGATAAAATAAACATACCCTTATTCACAATGGAAAATAAAGTTGCTATAAAAACCAAAACAATTTTTACGTTAAAACATGAGTCATGTGCATTATTCAGAAATATCTCAACTGACTGTTGTATACAACCGCTTCATCAGATCAATTCTTTAAAATGTCTTTGAGCGAGTGAGGTTTATGTGTCTTGGTGAAACAACACTTCTTCGAATCTTGTAGACTTTAGAATCACAAAGTACTGTACCAAATGACAGAAACGACATTACATGAGGACTTTCAACAGCAGCAACAGCTAAAATGGATAGCACATGTCACACGAAAAGAAAATAATGCCATAATCAATATGCTGACATTCCACACTAAAGTTACGATTATCATTAAGACTAAATGAAATCATACAGGAAAAAGTATATTATTGAAAATTGAAAAGTATCGAACCACGATGTCTTACTTCTCTAGTGAAAAATAAATTAGACAAGCGTACGATTCAAATAAAAATCTTGTAAACAGAATCGTCATCAAGAAATGTGCTCTGGAGCTGGCTCCAGTTCTCTCCAAACTATACATCTATTTCCTCGCTGCTCTCTGCTTTCTAGCTTGTTGGAAGTTCTCTGTAGTTCCTGTTTTTAAAAACTCTGGAGAACCTTCTGACCCCTCTAACTACCACCCTATTAGTCTCCTACCACTTTTCGCCAAAGTACTTGAGGTTTTAATCAAGGGCTGAAGTTGTTAAGCATCATACCTCTCACGACATACTTTGACAAACAATATGGCTTCCGTTTTTCCAGCTGTGCCGCTGATGTGCTAAAGGCCATAACTGAATATGTATATCAATCTTTTGATAATAACAGCGAAGCTCAAGCTGTGGGTCAAGATATCTCGAAGACGTTTGGCAGGGTTTGGCATTCTGGCCTTCTACGTAAGATAATTGGGTTCGGTTTTACTGAACGATTGTTTGATTTAATCCAATCGTCCCTATTAAATCGTGAAATGAAGGTTGTTTTAATCAGGCTAGTTTTCAGATTCTTTCATATTAACGCGGGTATCCCCCAAGGGTCTGTAATGGGTTCTACGTTGTTTCTTATCTTCATTAATGATCATCTTGATGTCATCAGTTCACAAGTAGGCAATTATACAGATGGCACGATCATTTACTCTCCTGTCTCAATAGCAAATCCTTCACTGTTGACAAAGTTAACCTGGCCACTGCTCTTGAAAAGGACGTCCAGTCAGTGGCTAACTGAGGCAGGAAATGGCTTGCAAATTTTACTGCCCATAAACGAAACTGCTCTCATTTAAACACCATAGGGATTTTTTTTGCCTGCCATCAGCATCGCTAATACTAGAATCCTAGCGAGCAGCACACAACGTCTTCTTGGCCTCATGATTTCAACTGGCCGCAAGGAAAGTTGGTTCATTGTGTTGTGCTAGAAGGTTTTTCTCGTCAGTACCCATCTTACCCAGAAACAAATCTACCATTCCTCCGTGAATTGAATACTATTGCCATATCTGATCTGGTGATCCTGCTATTCATCTTGAAGATCTTGAAAAAATCAAAAGAATGATCCGCAATGTAATCGATCCTGTCCTGGCATCTCGACTTCAATCACTTTCGCACCGACATAACGTGAACTCCCACTTTCTTTTCTGCAAATATTTTCATGCAGCTTCTTTGACGAGCTTTTTTCTTTGATGCCCTAAGTGCATGAATTTACGCGCGCTACTTGATTGGCATCTAGGTCCCACCTTTGTACTGTTGAAATAGTTAAATGTAACCGCCATTTCTACTACTTTCTTTTCTCACCGTTCCCGCATGTAGAACTCTATTCTGTTTACTAGCATTCCCTGCTAACTGCAGTCTTCAAACATGTAAGTACAACGTCAATCGCCATCTCCTATCTTCTTGAATCCTGTTAAGATTTTATCCTTTTCTTAATCTCCCTTTTTTTTCTGACTTTTACTCTCTGTAACCCCTTGCGTACTAGCGGCATCCCCGCCTTACTTGGTGTGAAATTATTTTAAAAAATAATAATTATTCATGTGAAAGTGTTAACTGATCGCGGTTGTTCGTAAAATAATTTCCGATTTTAGAATAAACATTTTGTGTTCTAATATAATATTCTAATAGTTGAGCAAAAATATATTACTCATTCCTAATGATTAAAGGATCCTGTCTCTTAATCTTATATCAATCTCTTTCAGAACTGCATGCCCTTCATCTTGAACATTTGAAAGTTAATTGCAAATTTATTGAATTATTTTATATTATATTACTCTTCAGACAGGTGATAATTAAGAAATATTTTCTTTTTAGAAAACAAAAAATAATCAGAGTTAACTAAAATAAAAAAATAAAATTTAAATGACTTTAGATTTTAAATCATTCGATTGTTCAAACTGGTCTTTTAATAAAAACCTCTTGTTACGAACACCAACATGATGAATTCAAAATTTTAGGTTGTTCGGAAAATAATGTCCGATTTTCGAATAAATATCTACACGCTGTTCTAATATATCATTATAATAATTACACAAAAATATATTACCTATTCTTAATGCCCTCTTTGTTAATTTTATAACAGTGTCTATGAATGTATTAAAAAAAAAATCTTTAAAATAAAAGTAGACTATTCTGCACTGTAACGTAATATCTACTCTTCACATAGGAGATTAAATATTATGTAACAGTCCAGTGGGTATTCTCGATAGCTATTAAACATCGACAGAGATGGTCTGTAGTGACGAACATTGGTAAGAATATATAGAGAATATGTCAGAAAGTAGGTTGTTTTTCTGACGAATAGCAACTATAAAAAAATAAATCATATTAAATCGAGATTAATGAGTAAAGAAGGCATGAAAAATTCAAAGTCACAAGGAATAATGAAGGAAAGAGAGGCCGAAAAACGGCAAGGAACATACCAGAGACTTTGAACGAATCGAGGATAAAAAAAAAAAACCACGAAGACAACAGGTGTTAAGTAACTAGCACCATTTCCTTAGAGCAAGTAGACATTATATCTCTATCTATAAAAGGCAGGATGTGTGTGTGTGTAACGAATACACCGCCGGAATTTTCGATGAATTTGCACCAAAATTTACATGCACATGCTCCAAGTTAGCGGGAAGGCCAAGACTGACTTTGCATTTCCCTCCTCCCATCGATAGTGGAAATAATCGATTTTTCATGCTTCTACGGCAGTTTTCATGTTGTTTGCGGCCATTTTCTACTGGCCAGAGTGAGAGCCAATAGTTGGCTGCCACGAATAGACAGGAAGATTCTATTACCCAGCGTGAGAGCCAACAGCTGACTGACAAGAATGTTAACTAGCATGCTAGCATGCAAAAAAATCGATAGCTGCATTCGTCACAAGTGGGAAATAATTTAAATCTGCATGGCACTTTACTCCAATTGGCTCATTCGCTTGCTTGAAGTCAATGTTGATTCTGATTCCGCAGAACTGGGTTCGGTGTGAAAAAGTATTTGTTGTTAACATTCTTTTTTCATTCGGTTTTTCCAGTTACGAGTCCTTTCTTAAAGCTGATCATTTTGTGTTCATTTTGTTTAGTTCTTTTTTCGTAACAGATATAATGTTTAGTATAGAGCTTAGAAAAACTTCGCAGTGTGAGATAGGCAAGAAGTAAGGCATGTAGCAACATCAGCAGGGCAAAGGGAACTCTTTTAAAGTCAAGGAAGAGCAAAAATATTTTAAGTCAAGTGATTGCGATTGCTGTATGAGTCGTACGATTTTTGAATCAAGCATGGGCAACGCCGGGCCATGCTGCTAGTGCTATATAAACGAAGAGTGTGAGACAACTAACACGATTTGAAGTGACAGTAACAGTTCCATTTTGACTTACTGCCTAAATGACTATATATGTATTCAGTAAGCTGAATAGATATTTTGATATATTTATAATTAACTAGCAGCCATACCCAGTTGCTCGATCAATAAAAACGTTCAATTAGAAGGGAGCAAAAACAGCATCTTTTTAAGATATAACAGAGTTTATCTTCTTCAATTACTTTAAATTACTTTCATTGAAAAACATTTTGAATTAATGCAGTTACTGATATAACAGAGGTGGTCTAGATTTATTCAGTCGAAGTTAGTCGAGGACATGAACGGGTAAAACAGGCAACATGAAGACCCACTGCAGACCACAATTATTTTGGAGTTTTTGAAATTCACTTTGTCAGTGTGCTAGCAGGGATATAAAAGTGGATACATTTATAAAGCGATTGTTAAGTTTGATGAAGATTGGTTGATTGATCAATGAAAAATAAGAAAGAAACTCGTAGACATCACCATGTTTCGCAATTTACTTGATTCTCACCACATGGGAGGACTCAATTATCAAGTTAAATGACTGTTAAACAATCAACTTATTGTTGGCTACAATTGAGTTGAGTTTGTACTAGATTGCTTGAAAATTGAGAGTTTTTAGTTTAAAATTTCTGTTGAAATCGATTTGTGTTGAAATCGATTTGTGCTGAAATCGATTTTTCGTTTTATGCGGTTTTCGCTAAAAGCAGTGACGTGGAAATAAAAACGATGTATCGTTGAGCTTGTCATGATGTAAGTAACCTACATACTGAGTTTGAACGAAATCGGAGGAAAAAAGTTGAATTTTATCGATTTTTGATCGGCTTTATCGATTACTGATTTAAAAAAAATATTGATTTTTTACGCTAAGAACCTATCTCTAACATTTTATAATGTATGTGCCAAGTTTGCTCAGAATCGGTTGGGTGGATCCTGAGTGAAAAGGTATCACACAGAAAGACAGACACACAGAAATCATCTGTTTTATATATATATAGATTATTAACATGAAGATCAAAAGTGGAGCATTGCTGTAATATCTGGTGTGGAGTTGCCGAATTCTTTAACGTCTTAACAGTGTTTAAAAGCGACACTATTTTCTGGTTGACGAACCATCTCGAACAAACAAACCCACTCTT